CCCCACAACCAGGATAATTGCAAAACCACACCTGAGCTGATACTTCACCGAGTTAGTAATGTAAGTTTGTGTAATTCATTAACCAACTCATGCGAAACTACACAATTTTTTATTATGAACAAACGGCTCACCGCGCTCCTCCTTCATAAAACAGGCATATTATTTTCGAGGATTATCTTCCCATCATAAGAAAACAGAGAATACGATTCGATCCTTCATCGTTAACTCTGAAGAGTGATAAAATTCAAGAATCAATATTACACGAAAAGCTAAAATAAATTAATTGATGTTAATATTTTTACATTTAGTAGTAACTCAATTTCCACATTAATTCATAAATTTCCACCTCTAAATCACAAAATTATTTAATTGTTTCTTCACAAAATTCGTAAAATAATCCACCAATTAAATTCTAAAATGCGAAGAATTCCTCGTAAATAATGCACAATTAAATTTCTAAAATCTAAATTTATGTCATACATACATGTAGTAACACTCATTTTCGCCATTAATTGATAATTCCCCTCTAATTTTCACAAAATTTATTGATAAGTTCCACACTAATCCCACAAAAAATTATTCGATAAGTTCCACATAATTCTTCATAAAATTTCACAAAAATTATTGATAATTTCCCCTCTAATTTTCACATTTATTGATTAATGTCCCCTCAATTTTCCACATTTCTTCACAACAATCGAATAAATAATTCACAATAAAAATTTTCTAAAATCTAGATTTTTATATGAAATCACAATCAAAATATGAGCAGTATACAAAATTAGAGAGTATAAATTTTTTTAGAAGAGATTTACCCGTTCTTTTCTCTGAGACTCGAGATCTTGACGTCGGCGAATGGAAAAGAGCGGCCGGCGGCGGTCGACGCTCCGGCCGGCCGGTCGGGCGCTAGCGCGGCAGGCGTCGGGGAATGATCTGGCGGCGGAGGTCGGAGCTGGGCGGCGCCGATGGGAACGACGGGAGAGTTAGGCCGTTGTAGCGAATGGCCGTCGGCTGGCTGGGTCACCGCGGCCTTTTATGCGCGCTCGCAAACTTCACGGAAGTTGAAACCTCCGTGAGTTTGCGAGTCTCAACTTCCGAGAGCAGATATGCAGAGCTACTCTCGCGGAAGTGAGACCGCACTTCACGGGAGTTCAACTCCGTGAATTGCCAGTCTCAACTTCCCCCGAGAGCGGCCGGACGAATTGTTAGCATCTGGCATAAATCTTCACGGAGTTGAACTCCCGTCGAAGTTTATGCAATAATTAAACTTCATGGAGTTCAACTCCCCCGTAATTTAAAAATACTTAAACTCACGCGGAGTGACGACCTTCCCGTGAAGTTTCGGAAGATTGTTAACAAAAACCGCACCTGATTTTCAGAGCCTGGGCCTGCAAAACAGGGTACGTTTTTGTAATTTGTTTTCGAAATAGTCGTTTTTGCAACATAAAAAACCAAAAAGGATATGTTTAAAATTTGTGCCAGCAAATTAATGTAATTTACGCGGGGAAGGAGAGAAACATGATTTAGCAGCGCCAACATTGAACACCTAACCTGGTTGGGAATCCAACATACACTCTCTCTCAATATCCGTTGAAGAATATATTAGATCAATAATTTAGACAAGTAGGAAAAAGAATTTGGTCTTCCATGCACATAAAAAGTTATTAAGAGAAGCCATTTGACTATTAATTAATATCTAGTCTTTTAATTTCTTGCAAGATCCTTCTCAACGCCATGAATCACTCCCTACGTTCGACGCCTCTTAAATTTAAATCATGCGCTTGAGTATGTCACCGCAAGCGGCCGTTTTGAAAACCGGATCTTAATGGCGACGAAAACATAGGCGTACTGATAGATTTCTGTCCAATAGCATTGGCGCACGGCGAACGTGTTCGTGCCAATATCTTATTCGGCGAAGACACGAATCCGTCGCCAATAACTTTGGCGGACGTAAAAACGATCCGTCGCCCAATGTTTTTCGGTCGCCAATAACTATTGCTATGAAACATTGAACGCACGGATCGTGTATTCCCAAATAGTTGATTGGCGACGACTCGCTGCTCCTCGCCCCAATAGTATTGGCGACGACACGTCTCCATCCAATGTTTTCCGTCGCCAATGACTTCCGTCGCAATGGTCATTGTCGACGCGAAAAAAACCATTGGCTGACGGGCAAAATCCGTAGCCAATACAAACATTGGCGACTGGTTTATTTCCGTCGCCAATGTTTATATTGGAGACGGATTTCGAATCCATTACCAATACCCCGTCGCCAATGCTCTGTTTTCTACTAGTGTTTTAAGTATGATATTCTATACGTAAAATGCGTCCATTTGGATATATAGATCACCTTTTTTTTTCTCCCTGACTATTTGTTATCTCAGCTCGCCAAATGAACGGGAGGCCACTTTCTGAGCGAAATAGTTCTGATAGGATTTCTACGCGAGTTTATGTATACTGTACCTGAAATACAAACATAAAACCTCAACTCACAAGTCCATGTCTCCTCTCTCGAAGAATATGTAGAGCAAAGACAATAAGGTTTTCAATTGTGATTGCTTGCTTCGGTCATTATGCAAGCTGTAATCATATATAACCATAGCCATGAAAGCCCTAGAAATTAAACCCCTAGGATCCAACAAAGAGGGCCTACGCGTTGAAAACCTTAGCAAGATAAAGCCAAACGCAGCACGCTAAGTTTACATAAGGGAGAAGGGGTAACTTTTTCTTACCTGCTCTCGCTTTACCTACATCTACATCACAAATATTTGCCTCATTTTCTTCTAGGAAACCTAAAGCACAAAAATTAATTGTTCTTTATTGTTGTCGTAGCTAGTCAGCAACATACAATATTTGTTCTTTATTGTTGTCGTTTCTGTAATATTAACTTAGCTTTTAATAACTTGATGATAATTAAAATTGTAGTTTAATGGGCGTGGTTAAGTTATATAGATTAAGGGTTAGGTACAAACAATATTGGAGTTACCCAAAAAAATATAAATAGAAAAGAGGAAATTAAATAAATAGAAAAAAGGTGCACAATCTAATAATTTTGGTTCAAAATGAGTGAGGATTCGGTTAAAATACTTCGTAGAAATGGATAATCTATATCATTCACGGGTGGTTGGAGAGTAAGCTTGAGAATTAAACTCTTCTATTTATAGTGTAGATTGCACCATTTTTATATGGGTGGTTCTGATAAGATCCTTACTGTACGCGCTTTAGCAATGAGGTGATTTGTACAATAAATAGAAGAGTTGTATTTCCTATATTAATTCTGTATCCATCCGTAAATGATATAGATTATTTATTTTAATAGGATGTCCTAATAAAATCTTTACTCTAGCGGGCAACGGAATATTAAAATCTAACATTTTGTTGTCCACATTATATCGCAACCAAATCATAACGTAATAGAATCCTTTCTATTATCCTTGTTGCTTCGCGTTTATTGTGCTTCTACATTTTGTCTTAAACAAAGGAATACAAGGGAATTTCTCCACTATTTTATTGCACTAGTACTCGTATTGGAAAAGATATTAAGGATGAACTATTTAGAAAAACTCCTTAATGACCCAAAATATGGGACCAATAGGGGGGACAAGTGAGGTGTCCCCCTCCTATTGGATAATGAGTTGGTCATCATTAATGATGGCCAACTCATTATCCAATAGGAGGGGGACACCTCACTTGTCCCCCCTTATTGGTCCCATATTTTGGGGCATTGTAGTAAAGCTCAACTATTTATTGGGTTGATGAATGGAAAAAAGAAAATCAATGAAGAATAGTTGTCTTTCTAATTTGAAGAAAATTCGTGGTGATGAGGACAAAATGAACCATTATTGCGGAGGTGGTAAGAAAGACAATAAAAATATGTTTGACAAATAGTTAATGAGAGAGAGAGAGAGAGAAATCGTGACTATTAATATACTATAACGAAATACGAAATAATTGGAGGCATATTCTCAGTAATTGGCAGCTAAATAGAAATAAATCTTTCATTAATGTTGATAGTTGAGACATGATATTAATTTCAAGGAAGAGAATTAATCAATTATTTCTATTGGGAGAATTGTTGAATTCTTCACACAACATCTCCAAGAACTTATAGCTAGTATTTTGATATTTAAATCCCGATATAATGTTATCTAGAGCTGTCCAAAAAGCTCATTGGCCCGGGCCCGACCGAGCAGGAACCCGGGCGCGGCGCGGGTTGGCTCGAAAACCCGGGCCAGACCTAGGTCTGGGCCGGCTCAAACGGCGCCCAGAATAGTAACTTTTATTTTTTTAAATTTTTTAATTATATATATATATATATATATAATATATATATATATATATATATATATATTATATATTATATATATATATATATATATATATATATATATATAATATATATATATATATTATAAAAGAGAGAGTACACTTATATATATATATATATATATATATATATTATATATATATATATATATATATAAAAAGTGTACTCTCTCTTATTGATAGGAGTTTTCACCTATATAATATATATATATTATAATAATATATATATATATAATATATAATATATAATATATATATATATATATATATATATATATATATATAATATATATATATATGGGATTAATGGGTATCCTTGTCATAGGAGGGATTTCCTCCTTGACGCCTCTAAAATCACATACTTGCATATAGTGATAAGGACTTATTCTAATAATAATTCTTTAAATTAACTTAATTTTAGTACACAATTTTCTCACACGTACTTGCATATAGTGATAATACGTTTGGAAGTGTGCCGAAGCATGTGTATTCGCTTAGATGCTTATAGACTTTTAAACAGGAGGTGAACTCAGTGAGGATGTAAGTGCTAAATTGTGTCATGGTGGGTGGTTGATGTTTGTATATATTAGTTATAAATATTTCACTCATTCATGGTAATTTTTGTAGGTCATCGATGCAATTTGTTAATTCGACTTTGTTATAAGATTGAGACAAACTAATAGTTATGATCGAAAAATACATGTTACGAGACCTTGGCTTGCAGTAAGTATTATCCTTGTTTTTCAAATCGGATGTTTGGAAATATTAATTATTAAAAATGTTTATTCCGCTAACAGTGGTTTAAAACATTGATGCCTCTTTGTAGCAAGCATTTCTGAAAGGAAATATTGAAATGATGGCAAAACGAATGAAGGAAAATGTTTCTCAGCAGAAGTTTTGTGAGTGTGAAAGAATTTTGATCCCAATTGTCAGCTCCGGACATTGGCATATGGTAGAGTTAGTGAGGGAGGAGAAAAAATTCTATCACTACTCCTCAATCAAGTCTTCCCTTTATACCGCCGATGCTGCGAAATTTAAAAATAAGTTTATGAGTTTCATAGAGAGTAATTGGACGTTGGGGAAATTAGAGCACCATGAACTTGTGTCAGTTGCCGCTCCTCAACAAGGACCGTACGTGTTTCATGCATTTACATTGTAATATTTCAATTTTTTCCTCGAAGGTAATTTTCAATGTCGTAATTTTGTTTTTTTGCTAAATGCAGAACCTTAGATTGTGGGATCTTTGTGATTGAATTCATTAATAGCATTGTCGAAAAGCGATCGATAACAATCTCACAAGGAGAGTGTGCAAAATACAGAGCAAAGTTTTGTGCAGCTCTCTTGTATGCACGCAATTCACCATATTTCTGACGATTGTAATTCACAAGGTAATTACTCAAATATTACTCTTTACACAAGCTAAAATAGATGGAAGAGCATGTCATTAATTCCTTAATTTTCACCGTGGGATTCTCTTTGGGATGCAGAGAACGCCTTTGATGTTTGGTCCATTGTTTCAAGTTGGCTTAAATCTTCCACTCGCTGCAAGATGTGAATTGTTATTGTTGAAAGTTAACTGAGAGTAAAAGATAGCCTGCATATTCGGTGAAGTAAAGATTCACTGACTACAGTGCATGCATTGCATATGGTTGCAGTGAAAACTAAAATAAAATGCATTGCATGTAGTTGCATTGAAAGTAATAAGGTAACGGTAGCAGGCAAATTATATATTCTCTTTTGATCAGATCATTAATTGAAAGCATGGGTTGCCATATCATCAATTTAGGATTTTTCATTACTTTCGATGTTTCATCTTGCATACATACTTTAGATCTTTGGATTGAATTCTCGAATGATAAATCCTTATTGACTCTTTTGTTACAGGGTGGGTGTGATTCTTTTGGGTAGTTTTGTTTGCTGCCAAGAAAAGCAAGGTCCTCACCAAGCAATCGCTAAGCATAACAAGTTCTACAATATCAGCATATTCTTCTTCTCGTCGATCCCATCAAGATGCTCCCTTGAAATCTTTACACTTGCTATGTTATGATATTGCCTTGCTTAGAAATATATTAGTGCACAAAATGTAAAAAGTGTCTGATGACACAATTTTTGTGGCCCTTTCTTTCACAGCTATGGTACATTTTGTTGCTTTTAAATGAAGTTCGGGTTGAGTTATATGCTAGTTTTGCTATGTTGATAAGATGACAGGGTGCAATATTCAATGTAAATCTAAAATTAGAGTATACTTATGAAAAACTTTTGTAACCCCTTAATCAATTTTTGTAACTCGTTAGACCAGTATTGTAACCCGTTGGTGAAGTTTTGTAACTCATAGTTCCGAAAAAAATTTGTAACTCCTTTAAAAAATTTTATAACTCCTTAGACTAGTTTTGTAACCCCTTAATCAAGTTTTGTAACTCTTACTTCTGGGAAAAAAAATTTATAACCCCTTAATCAATTTCTGTAACTCGTTAGACTAGTTTTGTAACCCGTTGTTGAAGTTTTGTAACTCATAGTTCCGAAAAAAATTTGTAACTCCTTTAAAAAATTTTATAACTCCTTAGATTAGTTTTGTAACCCCTTAATCAAGTTTTGTAACTCTTACATCTGGAAAAAAAATTTTATAACCCCTTAATCAATTTTTGTAACTCGTTAGACCAGTATTGTAACCCGTTGGTGAAGTTTTGTAACTCATAGTTCCGAAAAAAATTTGTAACTCCTTTAAAAAAATTTATAACTCCTTAGAATAGTTTTGTAACCCCTTAATCAAGTTTTGTAACTCTTACTTCTGGAAAAAAAAATTTATAACCCCTTAATCAATTTTTGTAACTCGTTAGACCAGTATTGTAACCCGTTGGTGAAGTTTTGTAACTCATAGTTCCGAAAAAAATTTGCAACTCCTTAAAAAAATTTTATAACTCCTTAGACCAGTTTTGTAATGCCTTAATCAAGTTTTGTAACTCTTACTTCTGTAAAAAAAAATTTATAACCCCTTAATCAATTTTTGTAACTCGTTAGACTAGTTTTGTAACCAACTGTTGAAGTTTTGTAACTCATAGTTCCGAAAAAAATTTGTAACTCCTTAAAAAAAATTTATAACTCCTTTGTTGAAGTTTTGTAACTCATAGTTCCGAAAAAAATTTGTAACTCCTTAAAAAAAATTTATAACTCCTTAGACCAGTTTTGTAACGCCTTAATCAAGATTTGTAACTCTTAATTCTGTAAAAAAAAAAATTATAACCCCTTAATCAATTTTTGTAACTCGTTAGACTAGTTTTGTAACATGTTGGTAAAGTTTTGTAACTCTTAGTTCTGAAAAACTTTTGTAACTCATTAATTTTTGTAACTCCTTCCAAAATTATCAACTCACAAAATG